CCAAGGCCCTACAGAGGATAGCACCACCCCTGTGGGTGGCCCCTCACCTTCAAAGGCTGGACCCCTGGAAGCAAAAGCCCCTTCCGGGTGGAGTCTGCCTGAGGCCCGACCCCTCCGAACTGACACAGCTCCTCCCCCGCCGCAGGAGGCCGGGGGCTCCGCTATGAAAGAGCTGGATCCCAAGGCCAGTGACTATCTGCCCAAGCTGCTGGGCCTGGTGGAGGAGAAGCTGCTGGCGCTGCAGGCGCAGTTAGACAGACAGGACATTCCGGAGATGCTGCGCCACATCGCGAATCGCGAGGTACCCAGGGAGAGGGCGCACTTCTCCCGGGAGAAGGCCGCTGGCCAGGAATGGGGCTGGGAGGTCAGAGGGCAGAGTGGGGGGGAGGGGGGGGCTTCAGGGGTGGAGCCTCGAGACGCCAAGGGGCGGGGCCCCAGGGACCAGGGGCGGGCCTGGCGGGAGGACAGGAGGTGGGACTGGGCATCAGGGCGCATGCTGAGAAGGAAGGCCACAGCTGGGCCCGAGTAAAGTTAAACAGGAGTTGGCAGAGGGGCTGTATGGAACCAGGGTATATTTTGGATGGAGTGGGAGGGAGGGGTAACAGGATATCCCGGGAGCCCCTGCCCCACTCACAGTCTTCTCTCCCGCCCCCTCCTCCTCAGTTCTACTCCAACCTGGAGGGAAAGCTGCCCGCGCACAACACCCGCATCACCTTCCCCCTTGCCATTCCCAAGGACAAGTTCTTTGGTCAGTACGGGCGGGGAAAAGGGGGGGGCCGGGGGCCCAACAGAGCAACGGGCTGTGGGAGGTGAGGTGGGGTCTAAAAGGCTGGGCAGGGAAATCTGAACCGGGCTGGGAACCTGGACACCCCCCCCCACTCCCCCCCAGACGAAGAGGAGACCGAGGACGATAACAACGACCTGGTTTCTCGTGCGGAGCTCAAGATCCGCTCCCAGAAATTAATCGATTTTCGCAGCAAGAAGCGCAACCGCTCTCGGAGGTCCTAGACTCGCCCTCGCACCCACCTGTCCTCTCCCGGCCCCGCGGAGCTCCCAAGCCCTCTGGTCCCAGCCACCGGCCCTCGGGGCCGCTCAAGGGCCGAGCGGCCCGACCGGGAGCGAGCCGGCCATCGGCGCCCGGAATAAATATCCCCAGGCGGCCGCGCTGGCCTCGGAATCACAAAATAAAGGACACCGATCAAGACTCAAGGAAATTCGCCTCGTCTTTAGTCTTGCACCTCCTCAAAGTATTGTCTCTTCTTACACCTAGGGGCCC